ATTATTATTATTATTATTATTATTATTTACTGGGAATTGAACTAGGGAACTCTGTACCAAACTACTCCTTTATTTCTGTTTTGTTTTCTTTGTTTTAGATAGAATCTCACCAAGTCACTCAATTTGCCAGCCCAGGGTTGAAATTGTGATCCTCTTTCCTCAGCTTCCTATTGTGCTGCGATTATAGGCATGCTCCAACATGGTCAGTTTACCTAATTTAAATTACCTAATTTTAATTTAACAATGTTTCAATATACACCAGGCCTTAGATTAATAGATATTTAGGGGCTGGCCAAATAGTTCAGCAGATTAAAGTGTCTGCAAGCAGGCACAGGGCCCAGGGTGGGCCGAGACAGCAACTGAGACTGGGTGTGCGTGCACCTATAATCCCAGCTCTTGGGAGGCTGTAAATAGGCGGATCACTACAAGTCCGATCTAGTAGTGAGACCCTGAACACCCTGTAGACCCTTCCCTAAAATACAAAAAAAAAAAAGTTTAGGTTGTTTAGATTTTTCTGCTTACAACAATGCAATGATTAATATATCTGAATGTACAATTTTATGTAACAGTATGAACTAGTATGTCAATTCCCATAGGTATAATATCATCACTCATTCATTCATTGAGACAGGCTTGCCTTGTAGTTCACATTGGACTTGAACTCACCATGTAGCCAGGCTGGCCTCGAACTTACCTGCCTCAGTCTTCCAAACACAGGTGTATGGCAACATGTCTGGCCTTAACATTTTAGATACTGAAAGTTATAGCTAAACCACCCACAAAGAGCACTGCATTAATTCTCTTCTTCCTCTTCCCTGGATCAGACAACACACTAGACAATATTAACTTTTAAATTTCTGCCAGTTGGGCTGGGCAGAGAACTCAGTGGACTAACACACTTGCTTAGGCAGAGCACAGTGACTCAGGTTTGATCCCGGCGGGCCATGCCGGCTGGCCCCAGGGTGCACTGAGATGGTAAATGAGACTAGGTGTGGTGGTGCATGCCTGTAATTCCAGAGCTTGGGAGGCTGAGAACGGGAGAAGCATTATGAGTCAAATCTATGTAATGAGTCCCTGTGACTCTGTACCAAATACATTAAAAAGAAGAAAAAAATTTCTGCCAATTAGGAAGATATATGTTTTAATTTTAATATCTATAACTAAGATTCAGGTTATGCCCCTTTTCTTTTTGGGGGGGGCAGTACTGAGAATTGAACTTGCTAGGCATGTGCTGTGCCACTGAGCTATATCCTTAGCCTTTAAA